TACAAATAAATATGAATATAACTAGATATATATACATATATATATATATACACATATATAAATAGGCCGGCCTGTTAAGGTAAAAAGGCTTCAGAATTAGGCTAGGCCTGGCCTTTTTAAATAAACGGGCTTTTTAAAAAGCCCAAGCCTGGCTTGATTACTAAACAGGCCAGGCCAGGCCAGGCTTTTAACAGGCCAGGCCACAGGCCCCTGACAGGCCGGCTGGCCTATTTCCACCCCTACTCACAGACTCTTGATGTCTTGCAAATAATTTTTCCTTGAGAGAAGATGGATTTGAAATAGTTTGGATTAATGTGGCATATTCTGGATAAATCCCATCTGATAGATAGTACCCCATATTGTAATGATGACCATTCACTACATAATTGCATAGCGGTGCTCTATCATTAACAAGGTCATCAAATAAGGGAGATCTATCCAAAACATTAACATCGTTATTTGTACCGGCCATTCCAAAAAATGCATGCCAAATCCACAAATTTTTAGATGCTACAATTTCCAAAATGAGGGTTGGAACTCTTTTGAAACCATTAGTATGTGTCCCATGCCAGGCTGTTGGACAATTTTTCCAATGCCAATGCATACAATCTAAACTACCAAGCATACCTGGAAATCCACGGTCTTCTCCCTCTTTCAAAAGTCTTGCAACATCATCTTTGTTCGGTTTTCGTAAATATTGCTTTTCAAAAATGCCAATAATAGCATCGCAGAATCGTTTCAAGCTTTCAATTGCCGTGCTCTCTCCAATCTGGACATACTCGTCAAGAATATCCGCTGCACAACCGTATGCTAACATACGTATTGAAGCTATGACTTTTTGTAAAGGACTAAGCCCGGGTTTTCCAATCGCGTCAACCTTTTGTGTAAAATAATCATCATAGGCCTCAATTGCTCTCAAAATTCGTTGGAATAATTTGATGTCCATCCGAAATCGTCGACGAAATTTCTCAGGTGTATACTTTGAGTTCTCACCATTGAAATAATCATTGACAATTAGATCATGACGTTCTTTCCTATCACGATTTATATGTCGTCTACCACTTATTGAACCGCCATGAGGATCTTTGCTACATATTAGCATAGGAGACAATATCAATGGGACGTGAACTGCACATGCCTCCACTACATCAATGTTCATTTCGGCAAAAATGTCATCATCCCTCCTTAGCTGATTGAGCATCTGTGTAGATAATGTATATGAATCATCACTAGATGATGAGCTATTGGAATCCGAGTCATAACTAGGTGTTGTCATTTTTGTCAAAACCGATCTGCTTACAAAAAGTATATACGGAGTATTATTTTAAAAAAAGTCATCAACATGCTCAATCAAAATAAAAATAATAAATGAACAAATTAAAAATATTATTCAAAGAATTTAATAGAAATTAAAAATAATAGATATAGACGAAATGAATATATTGAATAATAGATACGAAGTATGTATCAAATTCAATGAATTGATATAGGTAACATTACCTTTATGGATTTATTTTAACCCAGAAGTTGTTTGATTCAGGAAGACAATTGCATGGCTTTTGATCAGTCAATCAATGAATTGAATTTGATAACTACACGGAGTATTTTATGAAGGAGCCGGCTCATCTGGAATGATTTTGGGGTTTGGAGCAATATGTGTATAAATCAGTTATTGTACACGTTGGTCAACTATAGGCTGTTACACAGGGAGCACTGCGCATGAATTCTCGGTTTCAATGTGGACTGAAATGATCCCAACGTGATGTGGAGGACTGATCCATTTGTTAATTGCCACGTGTCAATTTTTTAAACCTGTTAACCCTATACGATTGTGGATGCTCTAAGCACTTATAGTGAAACTTGTAACACTCATCAGGCAAAATTGGGGTGATTTCTTATTAAACATGACACCATATGGATTAGGACAATTCTTTTTCCCAAAATAAGATTGTATGTAGCAACAAATTTTAAAGTGGTAACACTATATAAAAAGGCATTAAAAACATTTGAACTTCAAGAATTATTATCACCAGAAATGATATAAATCTCAAAATTTAAAAAATGCACTATAATATAAGAAAGAATGGTCGATTAACTGTTCTTTTAAGCTTAAGGAGGTCATAGATGACCTCATATGAGCTTGAGGTAATACTACAAAAAAACAGGTCCGTAGTCACAAACTTAGTCACGGACCGTAGTGTTAAAAATCCGTGACTAAGCTCTTTAGTCACAGATTTGGTCTGTGACTAAGTCCGTGACTAAGTGTAGCACAAACTTTTATCCGTGACTACATTTAGTCACGGATTAGTCACTGCCATGATCCGTGACTAGTTTGTGACCGGAATTGCTACTCCGGTGCGTTTGTCACGGACATATCCGTGACTACATATTATTTAATTTATTTAAAAATTTTACAGTGGTCACGGACAAGTCCGTGACTAACTTTTGTAATTTTTTTTAAAATCGGCCGTATTAATTTTTAAAATTTGATTTTTTTTAAAAACCGCCAATTTTCAAATTTTCAAATTTTGTTTCAAATTTTCAAAATTTTCAAATTTAAAAAAAAAAAACTTATTTTTAAAATAATTTAAAAATAAAATTTGAAAAAGTCGGACAAAACATTTGTCACAGACTTAGATCCGTGACTAGACTTTCTGTTTTTAAAAAAAATATGTTCTTTAGAAAAATAATTTAATTTAAAATTATATTTAAAATTATTTTTAAAAAAATTGTTGTACAATTATAACAATTAAATAGAAAAGAAATTTATACACTTTTAATCTATCAACTGGAATAAAAGTAATAAACAGACTAAAATAAGCATTTAAATAATCAATTTAAATTAAAAATGTATCATTACATACTCCTTCGTCCGTTATGATAATATCCAGATTCATCATAATTTAAATAATCGTCTTCGGTCTCGTGTTCTTCGTGTGGTTGCCTCCTCGGTTGCCTCCGCCTTGGCCCCAACTTTGGCCTCCGCGACTGCCTCCGCCTTGGCTGCCTCCAGGTGTCTCAAACAGGTTAAAAGGGACATCCTGAAAAGATCCAAATGAAGGCAACCCGGACCCAGAGTTGGAACGGAAATAACCGCCCATCTGCGGAACTTGAGAAGTCTACTCAAGGTGCAGTATATACGGCTGAGGTTGAGACCGAAATCCGGTGCTAATGATCCGTTCCATCGCTTCCAGCCGAGCTCTTGTTTCTTCCTCCTTTTTCCTTTGCTCCTCCAATGCTCGTTGCTGCTCCTCCAATTCCCGCTGCATTTGGGCAATACGCTGAGGAACAAGTTTGTATTTGTCTCCACCACAGAACTTGCAGATCTCAAGTGCCTCATCATCCTTCTAGAACAACATACATCCTCAAGGGCACGCATCAATTTCTATACAAGGAAGCCCCAGTTTAGATATTAATTGCTTCATGTCGTAATATGAATCGGGGAGGCTATGATCACGCGGTAGCATTCCTCCTACTGACTTCAAAACTCTAGACATGTAAGTTTCAGGGAGATTGTATTCAGCTTTTATGTTCATAAACTCTGTAACGGCGATAGCTGAGAGTATCCCTCACAATCAGCATACAGAGGCTGATCGGCAGCTTTCAAAACATCTTGAAATCTCTCAGCTAAACCTTCATCCACATAAGGTTGATAAAATATCGGATTTTCATCCGCATCTGGTTGATACGATGTCGAGGCTTCAAGAGGATCGTTAGATGGTTGTGGGGGGTTGAACTTAGACATCGATGGACCGTATGCATCATATACCATTCTTTGGTCCCACCTCATTTGATCACGGTCTCCCCACCCACTCATCTCGTTAGGGACGTTACGAGATGAACCTACCGTTCGTGGAGTGAGAGATGGATCCAAAGGTTCGCCATGACAAGTCCAATTATAATAATTGGGAACGAAACCGTCCGCGTACAAATCTCACCCAACCTCGTCTGGGTCTTTAAATTTGAGATTTTTACACTTTGAACATGGACATCTGATTTTATCACCACTCATATAATCCGGGTGTTCAAGTGCAAATTTAATAAACTCCTCACATCCCTCAAGGAAATATGTTTTCATTCAGTACAATACCGCATTTTTATCATACATCCAACTTCTATTTTGCCTATACATTATGCCTGAATATTATAATAATAAAAAATATATTGGTTAAAAACTTTAAATCATAAACATTGTCAACAATTTGTTATGTGTTGGTCTCAGTATATGCAGACTAATGATGTGACACCGCACCCGAACGTCCTTGAAAATTCAATTTAAATTCAAAATTTATGTATTGAATTTCCGATCTCCAAACAATAGTAAAACGATTAATGTTCTACGTAGTGCATGGTTGGATGTCATACTGTTCAAACTCGTACAATAGTGTCGGGTTTTGCAAATACTTATTCGGGACTTATTAATAAATAAAAGAGCCCAACATTACCTAAATAGCGATACATAATCTTTCAAGACAATTTGAGGAAGGTCGGGCGGCCCAAACATTATTTTGGGCCCAACCTGCTAAAAATAGCAAGTATTCGAGAATGGCGTTCTAGACCCACTCGGAGTGACCCACACGGCTAGTAGCCCAAAAATATGTATGACAAATGTCAAATAAGTGATAGAATGATTAAAGAAGAATACAAATGCCTATAGCCCCATCTTTGGCATTATTGAGCTAAATAATGGGAGTGGGATTTTCTTTCTATGATATCCATCAAGTAAATTATTGTGATAAACCTACACATATTGGAGATCAACAATGTGATGAGGGAAGTTGACTTGTTCTAAATAAATTAAGATGAGTACAAAAAGACATCTTTTGACAAAAGATAAAACAATAGGACTCATCTTCCCATTTTTGGAAGTATTGGTAGATATTTTGGACCCCAAGTTGAATGGGATCAATTGGGAACCATTCCACATGGACTTAGTACCTGCAAAACAAATGAAAAGAGGTGAGAAGACTATATGGGGCGGACCCTTGGCTCACATGCACAAAAACTCCAAGAGAAAACAAAAGGGGGAGGTCCACCCCATATTTGATTTCAAACCAAATATCTCCCATGTCCTTTTGTGAGCCACATGCTCTTTTAGAATGTTTAAGGTCTCCTATACACTCCGCCTACACCCCATTCGAACCCCAAATAGATAAGGGAGCAAAAGGATCCACACAACTCAAGAGAGAAGGAAGGAAGAGGGATGTCCGCAGGTAGTCTTTCCAGTGCGTAAGGTTACTTGTTTGCTTCATATCTCGAGTTATACACATCCAAATAAGGCGTGCGAGATACCAACAGAAAGCTCTCAAGACGAGGAATCCTTGAACGTCTGGTTTGCATCAATCGTAGTAGTGGAAGGCTTCCAAATCGTCCGAGCAAAACACAACCTCGCAGAATACGTTTTTCTATTCAAAGTAAGTTTGAATCCAAAACCTTCCTCTCTATTGTCTAAATCATATAAATGATTGAAGAACTATTATACACTGATTGAAGTGTATAAAATGTTATTATAAAGTGACTTTAATTGTTGGAGAGGTTAGATACTAACCTAGACAAAACCTTGAAAGGTTAGGGAACGAATTCGTCGGGAAACACCCGTTCTAGGGACTGTTTTTGTGTCTTCGGTTAGGAGTTGAACTAGCACTTTGAGGGGGCTGTTTAACACTCAATTCCAAGCAAGGAATCAGTTCTCAAACCTTCTTGGCCGAGGCTTTGGTCGTTGGAGCGAGAAGGAAGGTTTTAAAGCTCATTTGAGGTGAGGACCGACATCTAGTTACTTACAACTTGTAGGTTATGCATGAGATTACCTAAATGCTTAAATCATGTTTTTGTGAATAAATATGCTTGAACATGATATGAATGATAAGTAATGGACTTGATCATGAATTGAAACCATATTGATGAATATGGAGTCATGTGAGATAGAAGTATGCTAATATGGTAAATTGACCCTTCCAACTCATGTATGAATGTTATGTGTATGTAAATGTATAATTTCATGATGATGCCTAACACATGGGGGGGGCTGCCACATATCTATTGATATGGAGGGGCTACCATTAATGATAGATGAGTTGTAGGAATAATCTTAATAGTATTGTGATGCTAGTTAAGGATTGTCCTAAATGTGTTAGAATCAAACTTAAGGTTTGAGTTTGTTTGTGATGAACTTGAATGAGATTCAAGTGTCAATTGTGATTTCATAGAGTAAGAGATCTATGGTGTGATTGTATGGAGTAGGAGATCTATGGTGTGATTGTATGAAGTAGGAGATCTATGGGATGAATACACGAAGTAGGAGATCTATGATATGATTACATGAAGTAGGAGATCTATGATGCGAGTGCATGATGATGTACTCGAGCCGAACTCTATAAATGAGAAGTTATATTAGGGTTGGACCCTATGTATGTCGTGACTATTAGTCACGGGGTTTGGGAAATGTTTTGTGATAAACATGGGCCTTTGAGCCGACTACTTGACTTTATATAAAGTAAGTATATTTTTTTGAAGGGGTAATTTGGGATTACAACCTAACCTATATTATCACCCTATTTGAGGGTCTTGTGTGTGAAATACTTGTTGTATATCTATTAGATGCCTGCCACACCAGTACTTTATA